TTCCAGTATATAACGTTATCACTTTGAAGTTCCCTTAGGCTGAACTAGAACTGGGCTGCCCCAAAGCATTTGAGTGCGACCACTGTTTCCAAATTTGTGCATGGAGACAGACGTATTCTCAGACGTATTATTGGTGCGATGTATGATAGTGCGTGCCAAATGCACAGTAACCCGTGTCTAGAACAATAGTATAGTGTGATTTGGTTCTTCGTGTAGGTGCATGCAGCTGTTTTGACATTACAACCATGCTCAAATTTAATGGAGGCCCTTCCTGACAAGTGCAAGTGAAACGGCATTTCCAAAGCATATTTACAGTTTGTGTTTTTTACTTGTATTCATGTAAAACTGTTCTGAGGTGGATATCAGTAGCATCAAGGGGGACATGAAGTGTCGGGCCTTATGAGTTATCAGAAGACTATCTGCATCTCTAGCTTCATTGCAAACACTTGATTGGTGGTCTGTTCTGTGACAACATATAAAGCAGACAGTATGTTGCCTCCAGCAGTTCATTTTGCTTTCCGTTCTGAAAACAGTAATTATGCAATGTCGGGGACAAATAGGTCGAGCCTTTACAGAATGTCAACATTATGCATGTTAGCCAAAGGACAGCATACTTTCTAAATACTACAGTCACATTTTTCTATATTCTAATCCGCATTTTCACTTGTTATATAGGTTAGGATAAGATCAGTTTTCCTCTCACGCATTCATACATGCTGCTTGCCCACCTGTTATTACCATACAAGATAACCATTTTTTACATTTTATCTTTTCTATATAAATAAGTTAGAAAGTGGACTTTGCCTCCTTTATGCAAAAGCTATTTACGTGTCACTTCTATCACAGAAAAGGTTTATTCTTCATTTCAGGATAGTAAGCAGAACCATGTAAATAATTTCTTCATCTCCCTGAAAGAACCGCACACTCAGAAATAAAGCACTATAACCACTATTCAATAAAGCATTTGCAACACTTACTTGTGCTGTGGGCCACATTTCCATTAATAAGGATCTGGAGGTAATTAAGACAAAACTATTTTGGCGTACAGAGACAGGCCAGAGTGCTCAGAGTGGAGACGCTATGTGTACACTGTGCGTCAGTAGTCAGTCAGTAGCAGGGCATGTTTGCATGTGCCAGCCCCTTCCCCCACAAGTCGCTGGTTCTCAGAATGCTGTCGGTTGAACAGTACCACTGGTTGAGATGATGCTGTCAGCTGCACAGGGTCATTGGTTGCTAAGAAGCTGTTGACTGCACAGACCATAACAACCAATGAGGCCATGCAACCGGGGGCTGAAAATGCAGCCTTCGGTTGCGGACACTCCAGCAGCCCCCGGTTGCGGACACTCCAGCCTCAATGCCAACCTCCCATCATGCCGCTTTGCTCACACGAGTGTACACCAGAATTCATTAAGATGTCTGTGACAGTGTTCATAAATTCCATAGTATAACTCATGTATGCATCATTCACCAGCACCTGTGACTGCACAGTTGGCCCATGGACATAAAGGCATGATTTGCATTGCTGTGGCATTTCTTTGAACTTGGGGATAAACACTGTGCTTTTGGTATTTGTGATGGAAATGGAAGACATGCAAATACTTCAGTACTCTGCAGTGCTTTAGAGAGAGAATTTTCTGCTGGGTTGTCCAGCCCTAGTATATACTGAGAAGCTTTCGTATTTCATATTTAAAGGACAACTGTACGCAACCCCCTGAGTACTGTGAAACCAGTCTGACTTACCTTGGCCCCCATTCCAGCGATCTTCACTGTGGTACTCTGCCTGAAGCAGAACAGACTGCAAAAATTATCCCTCCTGAGTCCTCTTATTTCTGTACATGCATACCGCAAATCCATTCATTGCTAGGTAAAGATGTATTAATGGTGGTCTACAGTTATCATTTAAAATAGCACTGAATGTACCCACATACAGTTTGGAACATTTCTATGATAATGAGAGCTATACAGTCATGTGGAAATTGTTGAATCTTTCAACATATTTGAACAAGGAAACTTCAATCTTTTATTCAACAAAAATAGCTTATGAGGCATAGGGTACACCATTACATCTATTGATGTTTGGTTTAGGTGAAATTATTCTTTTGAAGTTGTTTTGCATAACTGTGTGCCAGTTTCTGACATCCATTTGGTGAAATCTTTTTTACAACTTATCCATGCAAAATTCCTTTTAGTTGCAAAATATTTTTTGGTTTCCTTGCTTGAACTGCCCATATCAAATCTCCCCACAACTTTTCAATGGAACTCTATTCAGAGCTTTGACTCGACCAATTAATACCCCCTATTTCATCTTTCTGAGCCTTTCAGGTGGATTTGCTAGTATTCTTTGGATCCATGATGTCTAAAGATCCATTCCTGGTTCAGCTTCAACCTTTGCACAGATGGCCTCACATTCTCATCAAGCACATTATATTTGATGCAGAATTAATTATTGACTTGATGACTAAAAGCTGCTTAGGCCCTGATGCAGCTAAGCAGCCTTACATTCCTGCCACCATGCTTCACAATTGGTACAAGGTTCTTCTCCTCAATGCTGTGCTCGGTTTGCACCAAACATGTCTACTATTATTGGCCAAACAACCATATATTTGATTTATAAGTTCATAGCACTCTGTTCCAGAAGGCCTAGTCTTTGTCTATATGTTCAACGTCAAACTAGTTTTGCTTTAATGTATTTTTGATAGCAGAGGCTTTTTTCTGGCACAGCTGCCATGCAGGTTAAGATGGTGCTATCTCCTTTTGATTGTAGATGCATATACTTTGACAGCAAATGATGCAAGAGTGATCTGAATATATAACAATACAATTTTGGGGGCCTTGAGTCTTTTTCTAGCATACAGCAGTCAGCTCTTGGGCTAAATTTGTTGGGCTGGCAAGTTGTTTAAAATGTGCATGATATTTTTTTCTCCTTAAAGTGCCCATACACTGTACGATTATCGTACGAGAATCGCGGGAAATCCCGCGATCGTACGAGAATCGCAAAGTGTATGGAAGGCGTGTGACCGTTTCTACTGTACGGTCACACGTCTTCCGTCGAACAAGCAGGCTGGAAAACCCGCCGGGAATCGTACGATTCTCGGCGTATTAGTGGCCTGCTTGTTCGACAACTGCCGAATGGGCCGGTGTGCGCACGCGCACACTGCCCCGTTTGCAGTCATCGGAAGCCCGCCCCTCATTGCAGTCATCGGAAGCCCGCCCCTCAGGGGGTGGGCTTGCGATGATCGCAAGTACGATCTGCCTGTCCAAGATGGGCAGATCGTACGTTTTTAAAATTATTTTTAAAAAATTTTAAAATTTTTTAAAAAGTCTTGCGAGGGTTGTAAAGTGTATGGCCACCTTTACACCTGCGTGTTTCCTAAGGAGGCTCTAATCATTGGAACCCAATCTGGAACACCTGATTCTAATTTTATGGATTAGAAGTACTGGTAAATGTAGGGGTGTATATATTTTTCCAAATGACAAATCTGCATTTTTGTTCATTTTACATTATGAAAATGGATACATCATGTCAATTTTATGTGCCATTTGTTCAAGTAAACATTTCCCTTGCAAAGAAAACAGCCTATTTGCCTGCAGTAAATCAACCCAGTGTATATAGAACATCTAGAATGAAAGTATGTAAAAAACATATATGTAAAAATATAAAAAAACAAGTGTGGTAGAGGCAGCTGTCATTTGTAAGGAGCATACAAAGCTCCCGGGATTTGTACATCTCTGTACAAAATGTATGATTTTGTTTTTATAAACATATGGGATGGACCGATACCATTTTTGCAAGTACAAGTACGGATTCTTGCCCAAGTACTTACAGATACAAGTACTGATACATTTTTGTTTATTGTCATGTGACAGTTTTTTAAAAACAATATCGACTAATGATTTCAGGACAGTGGTGGAGAGCCAGAGCCAGGTCCCAGCTGCAACAGCTCCAGCCCTGGTAGTTCTCATGAAAATGCCAAGTATCGGCACTGGTATCTGAACTGGTATCGTTGCATCTCTAAAACAGCCCCCTATATATCAGGAGCCCCCATTTCACATGATATCTGTATCCCCCTTTAGTGAAAATTTGAAGGCACTCCGGTTGAGAATGGCTGATTTAGAACATTAAATCTACTTGATTCCTATCCATTGTATTGTCTCCATGCAATTACATTTTACAACAGCTGGGGCAGGAAGTTGCAGGAATCTTGGACCTTTCAAAATGTGCTTAGCATTTTAGTAATTGGAGTAAATCTGAGTGTTTTTACAACTGATGACAATTGAATGCCCCACATTATTTACGCATTAGCCCTTTTTCTTCCTTTTGTCTCAAGCCTATTTATGAGAAGTATTTTAGGACGTGGTGTCCTCTGCCAGAGATAGGTGATATAAATGTAATAAAGCAAACAGCCTTCGCTTTGTACAGCTTGTTTGAATTGCATCATTTAAGAGAGGAGTTGACAAACAAGTTGTTTTACAGGTGTGATTTGAACGAGTCACTTGGCTTTCAAACATACAATCACTGTAATGTATCTATTTCTGCAACTCCTCCTCTCTCTTTCCGCTCAGCATCCTTTCAGATCTCTTTGCCTTTCAAGAGCCACCTGCAGGCCAATGTGTTCAACGAGCTGTCATGCACTCTGTAATATGGTCTGTGCACAAAGGATCGCCTTGTTTAATTTAACTTGTAGCACAGCGGCTTGTGTTCCAACACCTAACAATTAAGTTGTTAACTTCTGGATACCAGCCACCTTGTCACCGGTTTTAAACAAGTATGTAGGTTTGTCATTTTAGTGTTTAGCTGTAAATGTTCAGCTGTAAATACAAAGTCTTGTTTAATGAAATGCCAAAGAATCAGGCTCTAAAAGTGCCTTTCTCTTGTTTCTTTGCAGAATACAAAGGAGTCAGCGGGGAGAGAACGATGAGATGGTGTATGGCTAGTGACTGCGCTGAGCTGACAGGATATCGCCCAGGCACAGCAGTGCTTGCTCACAAGCCTCGATAAGCTGCACATGTTTTTGGGAGGAGGGAGCTGGTTCTCTTACCTTACTCCAGCTGCAGACTTCTCACGGCGGACGCAAGCTTGCAATGTGAATCAGACGAACACGCCACAACAGCCCGGGGAGACGATAAGCTTCGGTGTGTCTTGTGCACCGTGAGAGCTAGGGTGGAAAACGAGAAGCCAGGCTGGATTAAAATGCCATCTAAAGGGAAATATCTGATAAAGGACAATGAGGATTGGATTATCACGCATTCGCTTTATGAAAAATATCAGTGCATTAGCCAGCACTATCCATTGCTGCTCATCTTGCTCTTTGTGGTCGGGACTGCCTGTGTGACTCTAGTTGCTCTGTTCTTCACAACCAGCAAAGTGAGTAGAGTTTTTTTTTTTTTTTTATTCCCGCTTTCATTTCTGTGGCCTGATTGAACTGCCTGGAACTCTTATGTTGCTGCAGCTGAAATAGCTGTTGTATTTCATTACTGAATCTCTCTAATATGAGTTTTTTTTATAGATGTTTTCCTTTTCATTTAAAGGGCTCGTTCACACCAGATGCGTTGGGGCTGCACTTGTAGCCTTGCCCAGTGCGTCCCAACACATAGACATGACATAACACCTTGTTTTCAGTGGTGGTGTGCACTGAAAATAAAGTATGCATACAGTACTTTTTTCAGCGCTGTGTGCTGCAATGCAAACCACTGAATCATAACGCCGCTGCGGTGAACAGAATTAAGTGAAATGTCACTTGTGACATTTCAATGAAGCTCTAACAAAAAAAAGTAATGTGATGTGCTGCAATCGGTGTATCAGTAACATTCCTCTCAGTGCACACCAGCCACTGTGTATTTGGCATGGCTGCCTTGTAAATGAGCCTTAAAGCAGAGGTCCGGGGACATTTTTTATTAACCCTTGCCGTGGGGCTACCTCGCACTGCAAGGGTTAAGTGCTCATTTTGGTCTGGGGGTGAAAATAACTAATTTTATACTCGCACGATCTTTGGAGCTGGCTGGCTGTAGCAGCGCTCCCTCAAGTCTGTGTCCTTTGCCACAGCAATGGAATGTCCCTCAGCGTCCTCATGTCTGTGTACAATGTCTCTCAGCGTCCTCATGTCTGTGTACAGAGTATAATGACTCAAGGACCTTAGACCACTGCAGTGGAGGGGGAGAGATGCTCAAGGGACCAGAGTAAGAGCAAGCCGCGTCTGAGAATCAGACTAGTATAACTTTTTTGTCTTTCCTAGGCCAAAATGAGCACTTAACCATTGCAGTGTCATTGAGAAGGTATTGAAACTTCCAAGTCAGTCTGAAAGAGCCATGAAGGTAGGATTTCCGGTAGAGAAATGGTAGCCTACATACAACTTTCCACACAGGTTTCCTTTGAAGTGAATCTAATTTTCCAGACATAATTATAATTTTAGAATTAGTTTGAGTCTTTTAAATAAACCTGTTCTGAGAGAAATATAGGGACACCATTGCTGACTTTCTTTTGAAAATACTTAATTTTTGGCTGTTAAACTAGTGGCTTTTGCACTTGCTGATCCAGCTAATTGGAAGCCTGTAGTCAGGAAGTATGGAGGCTGCCATTCCTGACCTCTTCTTTCAAGACTTTTCTGAGCTATATGCTTGTCAATTTCAGTATTGGTAGAACTGATAAGGTGCGGTAATAGAGCAGAATGACCAACTTCTAAAGTGAGGTTGGTAGCAAAGATAGTATGCTGGAACATTTAAGTTAACAATCATTAAACTGTACCTTTTTTTTTTTTTTGACAAAAAAAAAAGGATCAGCAATTTCATGAAGGACACATGGAGTGTAGTTACACAGATGACCAATAATGATTGTTAGTAAACGTGTCCTTTACTACTTCCTCTCACCTCCCTGAGTGCAGCCTGCCATTATAAATACTTACCTTCCTTCCTGTTCCAGTCATCTTCATTGCATGGCCCTTCCCTGCCCTGCAATGCACAGTTTTTCAGAAACACCACCCCTGCCTCCTTTTTCTTTTTAGTGTGGCCCCGTTCATTCCTATGGGTGAGCCGTATTCCAACCTTCCTGTGGAAGAAAGGCTCTGCAGAACTGGGTAGTTCTACACAGTGAAGAGAACTGGAACAGGAAAAAGCGTAAGTATTTAACATGGCAGGCTGATCTCAGGGGGATTTAATAACGGACAAGTTCGCTAAAAGTAAACTTGTCCTTTAAGTAATCCAGCCCAGTCTTTCACAAATCCCCACGTGATTATGCTGAGGGAGCAAAAACATCTGCTGTTTGATGGTGATTTCTAAGGCCTGGTTCACACCTAAGAGTTTTGAGCAGTTGGAAAAGTGCTTTTAAGTACCCAGCACATGAATTCCCATGATTTTCAATGGCCGCTGTTTACACCTGAGCAGAAAAACACCAGCAGGAAAACGTCAAACGCCCAAAAAGGTACATGAGCTTCTTTAAGCAGTTAGCAGTGCGTTTTTGCCCAATAGACTTCAATGGAAAGCCCAAAAACACATGGCAGAAGCATGTTGCACATTTTCATGCGAGTTGTTGCGTGTACAATTGCACATCAAAATGTGCACACTGCGAATAAATGTGCAAATAACCGCACGCTGAACACGCACGTACAAACGTGCAAAAATGGTGTTGCCTAGGTGTGAACCCGGCCTAAAACTACCCACCATTGAGTAGACACATACATATACAAACATTTACAGTCCATGGAGGAACTGGATCAAACTGGTTGCTAGCAGCGTTGAATTGGCCCGCCAAAGGAATAAAGGATGCTTCAGAGGGTTCCCATAGCCTTACACTAATAGAGTCTGAATACCTTTTAAATTTGTCATCTTTAAACCCCTCTATACTGAGTTGCACCATTACCCAACATCTGTCATTCACATTCTTTCCTTGCCCATCTCCAAAGTGTGCTCATGACAATTGAAAATGTGGACTCTGAATCAGGAAAAGCACCAGGCAGGTCTTTGCTTCTCAGACTGCTTATTTGCAGTCATGCATGTAGTATCCAATTCACACCAGTTATATTTCAAATATATTTTTGTGGTGCCAACAATGCTATAATAAAAAGAAATAATATTTGTTATTATGATGATTATTATTAGTTAGTATTTCTCATTTATCTGTCTGATAAAATTAGTGACTTTATAAAATGGGGAACTGTGCTAATGGTTCAGTTTCAGATTGCCATTATCCATTTAGTAAACGTGATACCTTACAGAGGAACTACACTCATATCTTCAAAATAACAACAAAGGCACCTTTTAGAAATGTTTAGTAATTAGGGATGTCCCGATACCGATACTAGTATCAGTATCAGGGCCTATACAGAGCATTTTCACAAGTACTTGTACTTGTGAAAATGCCCCGATACATAGCGCCGATACTGGCACTTTCATTTTTAAAATAGTTTCAGGCTGCCCAGAGGTACCGTGCTTGTTGGGGTCCTCCGGGCAGCCTGCCAGGTAGCTAAACGAAGACGTCACACAGAGGCTCCTCCCACAGCATGGCCACGAGAGCGCCGACGGATGACACTCTCGCACAGTGCTGAGGACAGAAGGGCAACGTGAGAGACCAGGGAACGGACTCCTGCACAGCGCCGCGATCCTGAGAGTTGCTTTTGTATGTTTTGCTTTTGTATGTGGCAGCTGTGATAGGGCTGGCTGCGGGCATGATACGAGAAGTTGGGACACATTGAAAGAAGCAGGGAAGACGTAACTCTATTGTGTACTCTGTGTACTGGTCCTGGAACTCTGTACTATGGATCATTAATGGTTAAAGGGTCCATAGTACACAGTACACACTTCCAGTACACTGCAGAAATACAATTCTTCCCTGCTAACTCGAATAGGTTAAATTTTAACCTATTCAGGTTAGCTGGGGAGAATTGTATTTCTGCAGTGTACTGCAAGTGTGTACCGTGTACTATGGATCATTTGATTTAACCTATTCAAGTTAGCAGGGGAGAATTATAACTCTTTAACCAGTTGACATCCGTGGTGTTAAACCCCCTTCCCATCCAGGCCATTTTTCAGTATTCAGCGCTGCGGTACTTTGACTGACATTTATTCCGTCATGCAACGCTGTACTGAAATGAATTTTATACCCTTTTTTGGGGACAGATAGAGCTTTCTTTTGGTGGTATTTATTCACCACTGGGGTTTTAATTGTTTACTATATTAAGGAAAAATTACAAAAAACTGTTTCCCCTATATTAAATTCTAATACATTTATTATTACCCAATTTTTTGGTAAAATATAAAAGACGGGGTCACATTGGGTAAAAAGACACCAAACATGTCAAGCCTTAAAATTGCGTGCGCGCGACCGTGCGTGCCCGCTAGGGGGCGCTCGCGAGCAGAAAAAAATGCCGTCTAGCGACGGCAACCCGCCAATGCAGCAGTGCCGTCCGTCCGTTTTTTTACAACGGGCGGACGGCAAGTGGTTAAATGATTTGCAGAAATAGAGTAACAATTCTCCCCTGGTTCTTCCAATCTGTCCCACTTCCCCCAATTAAGCTTGGAAGTTATACAAAGAATTGCTGATAGGAATCAATGACTGAGACATTAGATTGGATGTGGGAAATATTATGAACATGCTCAGCAAGAAACTGCCCTAAAATCATTAGTCTGTATTGTTTTAGAACAAAATGCCATGTCCCTTTAAGAAAAGTATCGGTAAGTATCTGAGGGACAGTAATTGGTCTTGAAAAAGTGGTATCGGGACATCCCTATTAGTAATGACAATCTACAAACACATACCTATAGAAAATTGCGGGCTTTTTATTCTTTGCATACCTTGTTTTTCTTTTCTTCTCCATTCTTCTCACTGGCCATTTTTACTAAGGGCAGATGAATCCATCTCCCTTTACTTCCTGGAACTCTGAGACATGTGACCATGCACTTCATCTCGGGTGAGGAAAATGCCTTTTCCTGAGGTCTCATGAGATTTCACAGCAATGCACTGCTGATGTAATCTTCCCAGAATGCAATGCTTGGGCACAATTACATAATTTGTGCCAAAGAGAACCAGGAAGAAGAAAACAAGAAACTGTAAGTAAAATAAAAATATGTTTAATGAATGTAAGATTACTTCATATCAGCATGCAGAACTGTATGCTGATGTGATTTTTGGCCAAAGGGGTAAAGGTGCACTTTAAAGTCCATTCCACCTTTGTAAGTGATTAACATTTATTGTGGTAATGTATGTTGTTTTTTTTAATAAACATTTTATTAGGCCTGAGTCCTACAAATTCAACATTTTCTCCCCAGGAAACTCAGTCTGACACCAGTGTTGGATTGTAAAGCACCTACTTCCCTGTGATTCTGTATAACACGATCACTAAACACCAGCTCTGCCTTTCCACACAAAGCAGAGCA